TGATAGGGATAAAAGGGACCAAACAAGATTGGCTTAAAAGAAAGTATTGAAGAAAAGGTAAAGGGCTTGAAAGATACTTGAAAGGAACTTGTAACGAACTTGAGAATAAGAACTTGATTATTATGGAAAGAGCTTGAATATAAAACAACTTGATAATAGCAAATGAACTTTGATGTAAAAGAAACTTGGTGAAAAATGAGAGGAAGGGATAACCACTTACTTGAAAAGAGTTCTTACTATTATGTTGTAGAAGTTGATCTTCACTTCAAGCTTAAATGTTGTCTTAGTTGTTAATGAAGAACCTCAAAGCTTGAATGTTGAGAAGTTGATCTTGAATGTTGACTTGTAGATAATGTTTGTTGAATGAAGAGAAACCTCCAAGCTTGGATGTTGAGGTTGGAGCTTGGACCTTGGGTAGAAGAATACACCAATCTTGCTTGAAGCTTTAAAGTACATTAATCAAAGGGAGGTACATGGTAGGATCTTGAGATCAACTATCCTTGATGATCTAGAAGTAAAACTATGTGGCACAAACTTCTCTAGAATTGGAGCATATGGCTATGAGCTTGGGTTGGGAGAGGTTGGTGGTGATGATGAAGCCTTAGGAGTTGGAGCATAAGGAGGAGGACTTGAGGTTGGCCTTGAGGGAGTTTGAAGAACTTGTTGAGAGTTTGGGTATGAAGTAGCATTGAAGAATATTTTTTTGAAGAAATGAAGAGGACCCTTTTGTATTTGGTGGAGCTTGATGTTGGATGAAGGATGAGGAAAGGATGAATGGTTGTGATTGGTTGAGTTGGATAAGATGGGGGTGATGAATGTGGCCTTGAAGTGAAGGCTTGGTGAAGAGAATGAATGTGGCCTTGAAGTTAAGGCTTGGTGAATGGGATGTATTTGGCTTTGATTTTAAGGCTTGGTGAGTGGAATGAATGTGGCTTGGATTGGAAGGCTTGGTATGGAATCTTTTGTTTGATTGGTGGATAATGGGATGAGAAAGATGATGAGGATAGGAGGAGAGTTGAGGTGGAGGATTGATAGGTTTTGATTGGTAGGTTTTTGCTGTCTGGAGATAGGAAGGGTGTGGTGGCGAGTGGGCATTTTTGCAAGATGCCTTTTGCATATTCGGATTTTGGCTGACGGGGAAATTGCGGCGAAAAATTTCGCCACGTGAAATATTTCCCGCCACCCTGGTGCCACGCGAGCAGCAGCCACAGTTCACTGCAACACACTTGGCATGCGAACCTTCGGCCGTTTCGCTAGCTCGTGCACGAGGGTGGATGTGTTGAGAAAAAAAATATATATCAAATCTATTGTTGCGTAGCAACCCGTCGTGGACGTGGGCTCGTCATTTTCGTCTAGTTTTGACATATAATCGCAAATCCGCTGGTAACCATCTCTGTTGCATATTTCAGAATTCAAATTCAAATTCAAATTCAGAATCATGAATCATGAATTAAAACCCGCAGGCCAAGAAGGCCAAATTTGGTTCATCCTTCCTAGCGTTGGTTGGATGTCCCAAAAATGCCTGTGATCATTCCCGAATTCTAGACCTCGTCCAACATTTCGGACACTCCTATTGGTTCGCAGGCCTTTTGCGTTTTCACTCCCAACCAACCTTCCTAAGGTTGAAATTCTTGGCCTGCGGGTTTTAAGTCACAACCATGGATGAGTAGATTTTCAGTTCACCAGCGAGATTCTGGGATGGCGGTGGTTCTCGCCAGCTCCTCATGGATTCCTTGCGCCTAGCATGACGCCGCGTATCCCGCCAAATGGTTAGCCCAAGAGCCACTCGATGGCAAAATCGCCTTCCTCACGCGCTTCGCCTGCGCGTCAGCGCCTGCACCGAGCCCCAAGCACATTCTTCCCCTATCCCCTGCTTGCTGGGGTTCTTCATTTTATCCGCCGTGTGCACCCTAGCCTACATCGCTGGAGTAATTCCGCACTCTAAACCAGCGCCGCCTAAACCTTGGACACATTACGATCTTCCTGGAGGATTCGGGAGAGTGGTTTCTTCGAATGAGGCGATTTCTACCCGCGACGGAATCTCGTCGGAATCGGCGTGGGATCTGCGCGATGGCGATGTGCTCCCTGGAGTGTCGCACGCGCGACTGGCGAAATGGCGAGCCTCCGCCGCGCGATCACGGCTGAGCACCGCAGCTGACGCTTATACTACGGCTAGAGCTACACCGGTTGACGCCGAAACGGCTAGAGTCGACGCTGTTCGAGTCGGCGAAGCTGCCTATTCTGACCTCAGGGGAAATCGTGAAGATGGTGGCAAGCTGTGCGGCTGGCCGGTTCCCGTTGCTCCCGCGCGCGAGACGGAGGAGGGGTTTCAGGGGGATTCGGTGTGGTACAGCACGAACGGCAGCGAGTGGATGCAGCACGCGTACCTGGAGATTCTTATAGCGGAGATGGCAGGGCGAAGAGGGGGACAAGCGGGGATGGGGGGGAACGAATCGGAGGTGAGAGGGAGGATGAAGATCGGATGGGGCAAAGATGGATTGATTTATAAGATACGTAGGTTGAGCTTCTGCCTTGGCTCTCGTGTTGGCTCCGTTCAGTCTAAATTCTTGTTTTCTCTTTCCGCCTGTCAACCTTCATTTCTCTCCCTTCCCCCTCCTCCAGCCTGTATGCGTGGCGGTGTATCTGCCACCACATTGGTTCCCCTGCTCCGACTCGCCAGCTGGCTGCCAGCTGGCACTGTGGGTCCGCCCCGCCTCGTCCGACGTGGCGCTGCTGTACCACCTGCTCGACACGCGCGCCTTCCGCTTCCTGCGCCCCTCGCTGCTGCCTCACTTCCGCCCGTCCGCCATCCTTGATGCGGGCGCCAACATTGGCCTCGCCTCCCTCATCTTCGCCCTGCGGAATGCTGCAATTCTAGTATGAATTCATGATGTGCGGTATGGCAATGACACATTGTCACCTTGTCATTCAGCTGTGAATCTGTGGCATGCGCTGCAAACACATGGTGAGGGCTCCAACATCGGCCTAGCCTCCCTCATCTTCGCCCTGCGGTATGGCCATGACGCGTTGCCACCTGGTGCTGCTGCCATGGTGTTAGTCAGCTGTGAATGTATGGCATGTGTTGCATGGCATGTGTTGCAAGCACATTTTTTAGTCGACTCAAAAATAGGCCCATGGTGTTACTCAGCTGTGAATGCATGGCATGTGTTGCAACCACATGATGCCGGCGCCAACATCGGGCTCGCCTCCCTCATCCTCGCCCTGCAGTATGGCAGACTCAGATATGAATATATGACGTGATGCTATTTACCCGTGACTGTATGCCATGTGCTGCTGCCCCATGCTGCTGCCACGTGCTCTCTCTATCCTCAACAAGCTCCCCTTGAGCTCTCTTATCACCGTGAACCACAATTTTCTCAAAAAACATCCCTGTTTCTCCCCATTGCTTCTCCTTTCCCCTCCTCCTCTCGTTCCTTGATTGAGCAGCTTCCCCGGTGCACTGATAGTGGCAGTGGAGCCGGCGCGGGACAACTTCGCCCTGCTGCAGCGTAACGTGAAGCACCTCCCCCGGATACTGCCAGTCAATGCCGCCCTCTGGTCGCACGACACCCGGATAGCCGTCACTGCGGGCCGCCGGGAGGGCTTCTGGGCCTACGAGACACACGCGTGTGGGGAGGCGCAGGTGGGGGGTGAGGAGCAGATGGGGGGCGAGCAGCGAGAGCATCAGGAGCAAGAGGAACAGCAGCAAGAGCAGCAGCAGGACCGGCACCATCACCAGCAGCAGCAGCAGCATCAGCAGCAGCAGAAATTCAGGAGCAGAACGTATTCCCAGTCAGTGCCATCCTCTGCTGCTGCCAACCACTCGCCTGTTCCCGCCTCCCCCTGCATGCCCGCTGTCTCAGTGCCGTCACTGGTGCAACGCATGCAGCTGCCACGCTTTGACTATGTGAAGATTGATGTTGAGGGCGCTGAGAACCAGGTGTTCTGCTCTGACGCACGTGCAGCAGCAGCAGGAGCAGCAGCAACGCAGGGAGCAGCAACAGGAGGGGGGTGGCAGCATGATGCGGAAGTGCTTTCAGTGGAGGTGCATGAGGACTTGGCGCCGGGGATAGGCGCGTGCATGGAGGGGGTGTATCCGCGCACGCGGTATGACGTGCGCTCGTACGGGGAGAACACCGTGTATTTCAGCCCACATGTGTGGGTGCATGCACTCAAGCCGTTGGATCTGAGTGTGCGGTAATCGAAGAGGAAGGGTGTTACCACTGCTATTGAGGGTAGGGGGCGTCTATGCGCACATGGTATGATGTGCGCGTGTATGGGGAGAACACAGTCTACTTCAGCCCACACGTGTGGGTGCATGTGTTGAAATTGCTGGATCTGAGTGTGCGGTGAGGGTAGGAGGAGTGTGCTACTGCCAGGGGGGTTTGGTGTATCCGCGCACACGGTATGACATGCGCATGTACAGGGAGAGCACAGTGTATTTCAGCTCACACGCGTGTGGGTGCATGCACTCAAGCTGGTGGACTTGAGTGTGCTGTGAGCATAGCAGTGTGCTGTGAGCATAGCAGTGTGCTGTGAGCATAGCAGTGTGCTGTGAGCATAGCAGTGTGCTGTGAGCATAGCAGTGTGCTGTGAGCATAGCAGTGTGCTGTGAGCATAGTAGTGTGCTGTGAGCATAGCAGTGTGCTGTGAGCATAGCAGTGTGTTGCTACTGCCACTTAAGTTGGTGTAACAAGAGAGCACGGTGGGTTTGAGCCCACTGGATTGTCGCTGTCGATTTGCATGCAGGGTGCTTAGGGTACCTTCATATGTTGCACTGCAAAGTCGACTATACCACTGCAGCTTGGGGTACAGTGATGTACCACTCCAATTAAATGTTCAGCTGCTTCCTTTTCTGTAGCCACTCGAGGTGTGTGTATATTAAAATGTCCAACTGACAGGAGTACCACTATTGTGCTTGGTTCATCAGCTTACAAACACTTCAGCTTCAGTGCCTTTTTCTACGATAATGCAAGGCTACACTGAGTCGCTGTGGAGTGCTAAATTGAATGCAGCCGGTTGCCAATCTCATTGGCCACGCGCTGGAAGTATGCCATGCGGTGCAGCAGCCCCACACATGCTCCCACATCGCCCCTCTGAAACGCCTCGTCAAAGCTGCTGTACAGCCCTTCCATTCTCTCCTGAGTCTTCACATGCAAGACACGTGGCCAAGAGGGAAACCGAAACAGGAAAACAGGAGACTCGTACATGAATTGTGATTTTTTAGGCACCTCAAAAAGAGGAGATTCGTTGAGTTGTGAAGCAGAAGTGAGTGACATACATGTGGCCTCTCTGATGGTTCAGATTGCTCCGTCACATGCACAAGAACCAGCGAGTCCAAGAAAGTGGCAACTCTCCTTATCGTCTCTACCCCGAACTGGTTTTGACTGCCTGAGCAACAACAAGACACGCGTCTTACCTCAAGACCTGTCTCTTCGACGCCTCACCTCACCTCACCTCACCTCACCTCACCTCACCTCACCTCACCTCACCTCACCTCACGTCACCTCACGTCACCTCACCTCACCTCACGTCACCTCACGTCACCTCACCTCACCTCACCTCACCTCACCTCACCTCACCTCACCTCACCTCACCTCACCTCATCTCACCTCACCTCACACCTCACGTCACCTCACCTCACCTCACCTCACGTCACCTCACCTCACGTCACCTCGCCCTCGAAATACTGACAGAGAAACCTTCCCCACCGACCACCCAGAACCGCGTCAGCTAAAATACAGGCGATTCCTGTTCCCATCCTCCCCCCACCATCCCAGACCAAACCCCTCCCCTTCTCCCCCATTCTTCTCCGTTCCCCACCTGCGACTGCAGCGCCTGCAGCTCCTCAGGGCTGTCAGCGTCCTCAATGGTCTCCCTCAGCTCCATCACCTGCCGCACCCCCACACATGCATCAGTGGGGCAGAGGGGTGGCACACACTGAATGAGTGGCGAATCCCAAGCCGTTTGAAGGGTCAGATCTCGCAAGCACACATGCACCCTCCCCGCCAAAGCACACATGCACCCTCCCATAAGCAGCTGCTGGTCCCGCCCCGGGCTGTCGCCACTCAGCTCTGTTGCTGTCACACCGACACCCTCCCCACAAGCACCCTACCCTCCCTATAAGCACTCTTTCCCCCCAAGCACCCGCGCACCTCCATGAGCAGTTGCTGGTCCCGCCCCAGGCTGTCGCCACTCAGCTCTGCTGGGGTGACGCCAGCACCCTCTCCGCCACCACCCTCCCCGCCACCACCCTCCCCACAGGCACCCTATCCCACCTATAAGCACCAGCACCCTTCCCCCCCCAAGCACACGCACCTCCATAAGCAGCTGTTGGTCCCTCCCCGGGCTGTCCCCACTCAGCTCTGCTGCTGTCACGGCGCTAGCTCGGAGCTGATGGGAGGGGCGGGGGGTGGAGGGGGGGATGGGGGAGGAGCGAATGGCGATGGGGGGTGAGAGGAGGCGACGTGAGGGCTGAGTGAGGGCGAAGTGAGGGCGAAGTGAGGGCTGAGTGAGGGCGAAGTGAGGGCCAAGTGAGGGCCAAGCGAGGGCCAAGTGAGGGCGGAGTGAGGGCCAAGTAAGGGCCAAGTGAGGGCGGAGTGAGGGCCAAGTGAGGGCCAAGTGAGGGCCAAGTGAGGGCCAAGTGAGGGCCAAGTGAGGGCGGAGTGAGGGCCAAGTGAGGGCGGAGTGAGGGCCAAGTGAGGGCCAAGTGAGGGCGGAGTGAGGGCCAAGTGAGGGCCAAGTGAGGGCGGAGTGAGGGCCAAGTGAGGGCCAAGTGAGGGCCAAGTGAGGGCGGAGTGAGGGCCAAGTGAGGGCGGAGTGAGGGCGAAGTGAGGGCGAAGTCAGGGCGAAGTGAGGGCGAAGTGAGGGCGAAGTGAGGGCGAAGTGAGGGCGAAGTGAGGGCGAAGTGAGGGCGAAGTGAGGGCGAAGTGAGGGCGAAGTGAGGGCTGGTAACGGTCCAGCTCTGCTGGAGTGAAGCACATGGGAAGTGAGGGGGCACGGCGCAAGAGGCATGAGGCACAGCAGGAGGGCTCACGAGGTACTTGGCGCGAGAGAGCGGTCTGAGGAGCGTGTAGTAGGCGTCTATGACATGCGCTGCCTGCTGCCATGCCAATGCAGTGAGGGGCATGTGCATGCAGGCGGGCCTTACAAGGTACTTGACACGAGAGAGCGGCCTGAGGAGTGTGTAGTAGGCGTCTATGACATGTGCTGCTTGCTGTGCTGCTGCCACTGGAGTGCCCGCATTACTCGTGGGAAGTGGGGTGATGGGGGGCCTTACAAGGTACTTGGCACGAGAGAGCGGTCTGAGGAGCGTGTAGTAGGCGTCTATGACATGCGCTGCTTGCTCCGCTGATAGTGCCCTCTCCTCCTGCACACGCCCATGCACATGCACGAGAACGTGCCCAGGCATACGCACATAAACATGCAGATGCACACGCGCATGGATATCATACATGCCCACCAACCATCATTCATGCCCATCATGGGCATGAATGTGCCCAGGCATGCACACATGACATAAGCATGCACATGACATAAGCATGCACATGAAAATGCACACACACGAATATCATCCATGCCCGTCAACCATCATTCAAAATCTCGAACCCATGCCACCCATCCACATGCATGCATGCATGTTGTCACATGCAAAGCAAGAGATGAGGCTGCTGCAGCTGCAGCTGCTACCAAGGGCGGCAGGAATGTGCACTCTTGAAGCTTGCAGGAAAACGGTCCCCTGGTCCCTTGAAGCCTACTCATCATTAGCCCCTACGCCCTCCCCCATTGCACACATCGCCTCCGACTTGTCCCTGTGCTTGTCCGGCTGCTGTGCAGCTGCTACCCATGCCCATGCATGGGAGAGCACCCATGCCCCTCGCCCCCCTCCCTTTGTCCCCCATGAAGGTCCGGATGAGGCATCTTCTGCAGCTGCTGTGAAAGAGAATACCTAACCACCTCTCCTCCCCCCACCCTTCCCCCACACCACACGCCGTCTCACCTGCGACCTGCCCCCATGTAGATCCGGGTGCAGCATCTTCTGCAGCTGCTTGTAGCGCTGCTCCAACAACAATAGGTCCATGGCGAATGCACGCGGGCTGGAAGGCAGTGGGCAGAGGGTGGGGGGTGGGGGGACAGGGTGTGTTGAACGAGCGGAGCAAGTGGATTGGGGGAGCATGTCAGGCAGCTGCTGTAGCGCTGCTCCAACAGCGAAGGGTCAATGGCGAACGCACACGGTTTTAAGGGCGGTGGGAAGGGGGTGCGGGGGGGAATGGAAAGAGCAGGGGAAGTTCATTTAGAGAGAAAGCAACTCAGGCAGCTACTAAGTGACTTTTGAGTCGACTCAGAAGTCACATAGCGACAGGTCGACGGCGGTTGCACGCGGGCTGGAGAGCGGTGGGCAGGGTGGGGAAAAGAGAGAGCATCTCAGGCACATGCTTACATGGCTGCTTCAATAGCGAATGCAAGCGGGCTGGGGCATCACAGGGCAAGGGAGGGACGCAGGAGGGGAGCCAAGAAGGACAGAGCGCATATTGTAGAAAGCTGCTTGTGGAGCTGCTTGTGGAGCTGCTTGTGGAGCTGCTTGTGGAGCTGCTTGTAGAGCTGCTCGAATCCCAATCGCAAGCACGCCAGCCTGCCAATCCAAGTACCAATGAACCACTCACAGGCCGAACAGTTCGAACAGGTCCGTACGTTTGTCCATCGGTTGCAGCGCGCCACATGTTCCGCAGAAGAACCGCCACGTCAGCGGATCGCCCTCCTTGCTCGCGCCATCCCCCCTGCCCCTCGCGCCCTCCGCTTCCGCATCCGCGCGCATGTCATCCGCGGACGGGTTGCCCTTTCCCCCCCCGCGCGCATCAGCGCCGCGATCGGCGGAACAGAGCCAGCACGTGGACGCGTCATCAGCTGCTGACGTGGCCCCGCTTTCTGTGCGCGCCTCGTCGTGGTGGCACGGCTCGGAGGAAGAGTGGCGGCAGCGGGCAGCCGCTTGTGGTTGTGCGCAGAACACGCTTTGGCCTGATGCTGCTGCGGAATCTGCGCGTGGCGCGGTCGGCCAGAGCGTGTGAGGCGCGTGAGTCGCGTGAGTGCGCGACATTTCTCCCACCGGGGATAGCGGCGGAGGCACAGCTGGATGGCAGCGGCCGTGCGGTCGGGCGGCGTGTTGGACATATCCGCTGGGAAAACTGAGCGACACGGATTGCGACGTGGGCTGCGACGCGGCAGGCGACAGAGAGTCGGTGGTACCGGCAGAGAGCACAGCATGCGAGGGGCTCGTGGCGGCGGATTCAGTTCGAGAGGCGGAATCAGCGCGCGCGTGGTGAAGGGGGGGATGCACGGGACTCGGCGTTGACGCGAATGTGCGACAGGCAGTGCTTGCGACGAGAAGATCGCGAAGGCGACACTTGGCGACCTGCTTCAGCGAGCCCGTCGCCATGGCGGGAAAGAATCTGTCAAGGGCCGACCAGCGCAGGCTGCAAGCACGGGAAGCTGCGCGCAACGGAAGCTCCTACTACGAGCATCACAAGATCCTAACCTGCTGAGTCCCTTCCCTTGCTGTGGGGGCAAGAGTGGAAGTGCCTGCTAGGCTTGCTACCTCGCTACTGCTAGCCCTGCTACTGCTGCTTCAACTATCACTATGCACGCTTACATACAGTTGTAAATCCATGGTGCATAACATGCCAATACATTAGATAACTCTCTCAGTGTAAATTCACTCCAACAGGGTCATTCTCCAATTCAAACACTTTCACAACATAAATTCTTTACCTTAATTATTGAACACACTGCTGGAACCCCCACCTTCCATTGCAACATTGTCTTTGAGAGTGCATGGAATAATGATGGATACTAAATACTGCGGCAATTTACCAGGTTGAGGCAGAGGTAGCATTGAGGCAGAGTTTGGAGGCAATGTTGATTAGCCTGACAAATGAATAATAGTTGGCAAGGAATGCAAAATGTGCCGGGCATGCACTTTCAACTCCTTATACGGTACTACACCTTTCATCCCTACTCATCCTCATCATCCTCATCATCTTCATCTGTTGAAATGCTAGGCAGAATCAATAAACAGAAAAGAGGGAGTTTCACTAGCATGCAGTTCAGTACATATAGCAAACCCCTAATTCGGGCTGTACTCGCTATAGAGTACCCCACTGCAGGCTACACAAACATCACATTCTGACACACCCCCATAGTCAAAGTGGTGTACAATCAAAACAACAAACAGGCAAAGTAGTAGTTCACAAGTATAAGCAAAGCTAGAGGCAGTCACAGAGGGCAAGTGAGGAGGAGGAGAAACTGTGAGGGCGAGAAGATGGGAGGCGACGGCTGAAGCTGCAGACACACAGGCAGCAGGAGTGCGCAGCACTGTCGCTACCAGGCTAAACCCGGACTACACGACGACAGGCGCAGCTGGCTCACTGTGCTCCCAGGAGTGCACACACTGTGGCTACCGGGCGCAGAGCCCCGGACTGTCAGAATCCCAACCACTAGACCATTGGGATAAAATGGCTTGCTAAGTAGCGGATCAGTGCGCCCATAACCACCCAGGCCAACATGCCTGTAACCCTTCCCTAGGATCAATCGGGGATCACCAGTGGACCTCTGACACCCCCCCGCACTGGGATGCCCGAAGTGCATACACCGGGATTCGAACCCGAGACCTTCGCTCTGATACCATGTCAGAATCCCAACCACTAGACCATTGGGATAAAAGGGCTTGTTAAGTAGCGGGTCAGTGCGCCCATAACCCCCCAGGCCAACATGCCTGTAACCCTTCCCTGGGATCAATCGGGGATCACCAGTGGACCTCTGACACGGATTACTCAGGCCACAGGGGGTCGTGGCTCTCTGGACTACCAGGAGTGCTCACACTGTCGCTACCGGGCGCAGAGCCCCGGACTACTCAGGCTACAGGGGGTCGTGGCTCTCTGGACTTCAGGCGCTGCGGACGACAAGTCGGTTACCTCCGGTCAACCTCCCCTAACTGTCCCACACCCCGTTCACACACTCCCTGCTGCACCTTTAGCACTGCTCACTCGCCACCCCCCTCGAACGACTCCGACGGCTCCAACACATCCACCCCCCTCAGCGGCAGCTGCAGCAGTGGGAGACGGAGGAGGAGGAGGAGAAGGGGACGGCTCACACACACAGCACCCCCATACTCTCCACCCCCAAACCCTAATCCTCGTCATCCTCAGCGATTTTTTTCTTCCCTCCTCATCATCCTCATCCTCCTCATCCTCCTCATCCTCCTCCTCCACCTCTTCCTCTTCCTCCTCATCATCCTCATCATCAAACTCGTCACCATCGCTATCACGACCACAATCCCTCTCCCGTTCCTCCGCACCAACCACCGGCTTCCAGTTCCGTCTTTCAACCATGAACCACTCCTCATCCAGCGTGCACCCCTCCATCAGCCTCCGATTCACATCACACTGTGCATCTTGTCCCGCACGCTCTTCCGCCCATTCCTAAACGACGCACTGCTCTTCCCTCCTCTCAGCCCCCTCACATGCACCACCGGCCCACCCTCCATCCTTATCCCTTTCCTCTCCTAGTACCACGTCTGCCTCGCAACACAGTACAGCGCCAGGGAGGGATACCTCGCCTTGAGATCTCCCAGCAGGGCTGGTGGCATGTCGCGGCGGGTTGGGAAGAAGAAGGTTTGCAGATTCGGGGCGTTGATGCTTGGAGGGATGCACAGACGAGAGGAAGCAAGTCTGCGTGAAGGCGTCTCTCGCTCCAACGAACCATAAACAGAGTCACCATTGTCGTCGGGCCCAACACCAACTAGCTGGTTGCCAAACGGCCCCCCATGGAAGCGAGTGAGCCCTCGATTCCTCAACCTCCACTCCATCTCCCTCGCCTCCACCTGCTCCTTCCTTCTCTGCTTTCTCGTCCACTCAGTAATCTCATTCCCATCGGCTCTCTCCACATCTTCCACTGCCATCTCCCCTTGCACCGGGTTCATCACATCGTAGTCGCTCGCCACGACAATCCCGAGGCTCTGCAGCCGCGGCCAGGGGAACCTGCAGGTCTAAGGTCGATTTCATGCCTCGCTATAAGCAGCTCCACTGTAGGTGCGAGTGCTCGCAGCCATTCCGCCCATGCAGAGGGCTGCGGCGGCGGGAGCAGTTTTATTGGGGCGTTGAGGTAAAGCGCACGGACAGAGGCAACCTTGAAAGAGGCAATATGGATCCTCTCTTCCCCAAATAGCAAGAGCTGGGTCAAGGTGAGAGGGCGGGCAGAGCGGCAGGCGAGAGTGAGGGACTGGGCACAGGCGGAGAAGGAGGTGAGGGAGTCGTGAGAAAGGGCGAGTTACAGCTTGAGCTCGTGGCTGAGGAAGCGGAAGGAGAGGCGGCGAGCCCTGGGGAACTTGAGGCACAGTAGCACGGGTCCCTTGCAGTCCTCCCCTCCCTCCTCCTCCACCTTCCACGGCTCGCAAAACAAGAATTCGTGCAGCTGAGGGGAAATGGCAGCCAGGGCTTTAAGAGAGATCCCCCTGGGGTCCACATTTTTTAGGGTTAAGCTCTGAAGGGACTGCATCCAGGGATTGGTGAGGCAGCTTCTACCCAAGCGCCAGGCTCCACGTGCGAGTGTGAGGGAGTGCAGGGAGGTGCAGAAACTGAGAAATGCCAGATTCCAGTGGCTCTGACTGTAATCCTCCTCTGTGAATTTCTCTCTGATGCTCAGACTTAGTTGCAGGGATGAGAGCGAGGAGGCGGTAGGGGAGGATGGGATGGTGAAGGGGCAGCGGACGAGTGGGATGAGGGAGGGGTGGGAGAAGGAGAGGTGGAGGGAAGGGAAGGGAAGGTGGGAGAGCGGGAAAGTAGCCAGCGCACGCTGGTGGTCCACTGGGGCTGGGCGGCTGTGAGGTGCAGACTCATGGGCGTGCCGTGTTCCTGGTGGCGGGAGGGAGGGAAAAAAGCTTGGAGTGAGCAGTAGAGCTTATCAAGATGGTTATCAAGACCAACTCCAGCACGCGCAGAAATGAGAGAGAGGGAGAGAGCACCAAGGACCATCTGAGAGTGCTAAGCCGTCACACATGGGAGTGAAGGACAGAGAGTTATGCATCTAACCTACAACTGAGAATGCAATGAAGTGTGAAGGAGCAAGACATGACAACTGCTCCTGGAAAAGGACCAACATGGAAAATGCGAGTGTGTGGAGGGGCAGCAGACGCGAGGAGAGGGCGTGGAGGGGCGGAGAACGAGTGGAGCACGCACGGAGAAGGAGGCGACGAGGTGGAGCAGCCTCTTGCTGGCGAGCGCGCAGCACAGCAGAGGCCACGAGGAGCCGTACGTTTGAGCGTTGCGCGCATGCAGTCAGCACGGCGACACCCCGGAATTCACGAACACGGGCACCGGTGCCACTCTAGCCGCGCGATTCTCAGCGCTTCGTGGGACATTGCTGCCAGTAGAACTACCAGCACCGCCGCCACCGCCGGTGCCTCTGGAGTTGGGCTCTGCTCGCTGCGCCAAGCTCCGCGCGCGGCAGTAATATCGGCCGCCCGCGGAGTGCGGAGGGGTGGCGCTGCAGGGTCGCTCCAGCAGCAGGCGGAAGATGTGGTGCCAGAGCGCTGCTGGGAGCGCGTCGATCAGGTCGTTGCCCTGTTCTGAGGATGAGCGAGATAGAGATAGGGAAAGAAAGCGGGAGAGAAATAGGGAGAGAAAGAGGGAGAGGGAGAGAATTAGGGAAAAAGAGGGAGAGGGAGAAAGAGAGGTAGAAGGAGAGATAGAGGAGCGGGAGACGAGAGGGAGAGGGAGAGCAGAAGGTTTACAGGAAGAGATGAGAACGGGAGTGTAGGGACGGGGAAGAGAACACAATTTGTGTTGCGATGCTGGAAGGGAGCGGATTTTGCTTCAAAGACTACTGGAAATGAAGGTGTGAGAATCAGAACGCTAATTTCTTGTGAGACGATGAATGAAGATGGGTAGGAGAGACTAACGGATTTAGGAAGGGATGGACGGAAACTGCCAATTGATTGATTGTGGGGAACGAGATAAAAAAAATGTGAGCAAAAGTGAAGTTCGGGTGCCTTGAGGAACGAAAATAAGAACACGGGGACTGCGTCGCGGTAAGACCAAGCTCCGCTGGGAATGTAGGTCCTTGCCTTCGGGGTCAGCGCTGTCCTGTCGCCTATCGTTCTCTCGCCTCCTCTTTTCACGTCGCTCAACTCGTCCCTCTCAGTTCGCAATTCGGATCTTCAGCATCTCCCAGCGACGATGCCATGACGATCCTGTTTAACTGGCTATGGAATCGCGCTCTCGCCTCTCGCAGTTCTCATCGCCATGGTGAAATCTGCGCGTTATTGTCAAAGTTTGCTCGCGGTAAGACCAAGCTCCGCTGGGAATGTAGGTCCTTGCCTTCGGGGTCAGCGCTGTCCTGTCGCCTATCGTTCTCTCGCCTCCTCTTTTCACGTCGCTCAAC